TATTTCATGATCATTCAATATTATTTTATTTCATGATCATTCAATATTATTTTATTCCTCATCTTATTTATTTTCAGCTAGAAATATATATAAATTGGTGATTTATATTGGTTAAAAGAAAAGAAATACATTATACAAATAATATCCTTTACTTAAATGAACAAATTTCTGGAAGTTATTATACTGGAAAATTGAATTTCTTATGAAATTTGATACTTATTACTCAGGTACAAAAATTTAGATGTGATTGCGTTTCAAACAATACATCGTAGAACGATGTCATCTTTATTTACACGTAACTGAATTGAAGAAGTTATTTAAAAATCTATGATATATGATATTACCATTACCTACAAGGGTGTAGTTACCTCAACATGTGTGACAACTATGTTATTACCAATTCTCTGTGTAGTGTTGTAAATTCATACTCATAGGCATATATTGCTAAAGGCATGTTCTGTACTAACTCCAAGATGAATTATTAATAAAAGACATATATAATAAACTTTAATGTTTTATATAAACATACATGGTAAGCTTATTACACTTGGAGCATAATATTTTAAGATATATTCAAAAGGTCATCATGAATGTAACACAAGGCAATATTTTGAATTTAAATGTCATTTGTCATCATGAGGACAATTTACATTAAATGAACATATTTTTCAAAAAACCTGAAATCAAATCAACTGAATGTATAAATTCTGATGGACTATGATTTATCAAAAATTCATAAGAAGGAAATGTGATACGCTATACAAGAAGTTATGTTGGATATGTTGTACATACAAAGTTTAAATTGTAATTCAACTGCAGATTTTATCTTGACAGATTTTCAATGTGTGTATTAAATGTTGTTGAATCATCTGCAGCATATCTAATGATCATATACGTTCAACTACCATACACTCAGGCGCGGATCCAGTAGGATAACCCCCCTCCCCACCTTCTCTCCCTGTTTTGCCACTAAATTTTTAAAATTTCTGTGCAAATCAATGTTATGTGCTATTTACTTATCTATTCTGAAACTGTTGTGCCCCCATTTGAAAATTCTGGATCTGCCCCTGACACACTTTACATTTCACATAGAAAATCAGAATCACCATAAGTATTACTATGTCGATGCTGGCACTATATAAACTATTATTGAATAGTATTACTGTATAATATAAATTTTAACATTATTTATGTCAAGTTTTTGAATTAACTATTTTTTAATATTCTTTATAAATATTAAGTTTTATATTAAATTTCTAAAGGGTACTTATAGTTTTATGACCTTGTTTATTATTCCACACACTGTTGGGTTTTGAATTAATAAAAACTTGTATAGAACTATCATTCATCATGTGTGTACGTCATTCATCGCTATGGTGATGGCTTAGAGTGCACAACATGATAGAGCTCGTATATTTTCAAATCTATATACAGTACATATTTTAATATGCAGTTAATGTGTAGTAATTGTAATATTTGCACCTTTATAATTTATTTCAGTACATTCTTGTTATGTTTCTGAGAAGATCCATTGTTTGGTTGATGGGATTAATCCTGAATGCCATCAAGAGAATTGTCATCAAAACATGTGAATAATTTATAGTACCCAATGGTTTTTCTATGAACCGCACTGTGTGATGATGATGATGGTGTGATGGTGATGAAGATGACGATAATTATGAAGATGATTGCTAAGTGTGACATTTCGGTATTCTTTGAAAAAAAACACAGTAACCCTGATAAGCAATATTATTTATATATTTTTTATAAAGAAATTACAATTTAAATTGTGTGTTTTTGGCTTTTTGTAAAATGAATAATCAAAAACCAAGATTCTAGCACCTTAATAGTACTGTTGGTGTAGATTATATTCCACAGTGTGTGCAGGTAATCATCGTGATGACAGCGTCCAAGTCCCACAGGTAATTATATGGGGAAAATGTGCGATATGAATAAATGGGACACACGCACACATCAGATTCTGATTCATCTTGAGGCTTACTTGGTAGATTTTTTAATGACCACATCATTGCTTTTAGCATCGGAGGTATTCAGAATTATGTTGCTGCCTAATGGTGCATGTATTTTTCACCCTTCAACTCTGAAATTCAAAATTTGTTGCGTAATTTTGATATCAATGACCTTTCGCAAGCAGGAGTCATGTCTATATTTTGTGGGGTGTGCACTTGCATAAGAATTATTATTGTAATATTTAAAACTCATTAATATTATATACCATGGCTGGTCGGTAGGCCAGGTTCTACACGATTTGATTGGTGGAGGTCTCTAATTGGTTAAAGCTAAAGTTTGACTATAGCCGCGTGACTGCATGTAAGCATGGTTAGGCTTCATGATGGGTGACATTTTGAGTAAGGTGTTGGGCATGACTACTGTCAGCTTTTAGTACATACTGTATACTAAATTTATTCAGTGCAAGCCTAAAAGTGAGGATGTTATACATCAAGCAAAAGTACCTATCAAAATTTTTAGGCAAGACTTTTTTATACTTGATTCGGGAACTTATTTTTTTGAAGATTGGCAAAAGAGATCAGAAAAAAAAATTTAATTTTGTATTCTCATGTAGCAAAATGATATTGACCAAAACCATCTAGGCAGAGAAAATAAATACAGTATAAGATTTTATTAATAAATTAAACAGTATAGTAATGAGATTGATAACTGCTTTGAATTTATATAATTAAGAAAGAAATATATATCTTATTTTTGGAGATTTCACAGGAGCAAAGGGCATAATAAGAATAAATATTATTTTTTTTAAATGAAATTTTAATTTTTTCGTAGCGGAGGGTGCACTAAATGGTCAAAAATAAAATTTTATTTTTATTCGAAATCACCATTTTTGGCAGTTAGAGGTTTGCTAAACAAAGAGTAGAAAAAGTCTTGATCTTCTTAAACCATGGAGACTAGGAACAAATGAATAAATGACTATACTATTATTGTAGAGGTGATGAAATAGGTTAAAACTAACCCAGATATTTATTACATATTTAAATTTGTTTATATTATGTATTGAGGTACACGCTTGAGCTGTGGGGTTCTAGTTCACAAACACACGTCGCACTCTCTTGTTATAAGCATTCTTCCTGTTGTTTTTAAATTTGTTTATTATGTAATTCTTAAACATTATGTATGGGGGTTGCATGGTAGTTATGTTTAGTGAGGTGACATGAAAACATTTTAAGTTTACGACTATGTGTTAAAACTTGGTATTATTTATGCTTTGGGTTTTAATTCCAAAATACAATTTGATTAAGTGGTATAATATTTATGCCTATATGATAGCTTGTATCATTTTAGTCATACCTTTTTATATTTGTGTCCAAGACCACTGTTAATAACAATGTAGTTCAGTTTATTTTCTCTTGTAGTGTTAAGCTTTCTTCATTGAATTTGAATTTATTCTGGTTAAATAAATTGCAAATAAAAAAAATTATAAAAAATATTATGCTCTTTTAAATTTTACATCTTTACAATTTTCTTTGAATTGATTTTTCCTCAGAATATACGTCTTGACCCAAATGTATATAAAAACAACACAAATGAAATATCTGTAGAAGTGTTTTGTGAGAAAATGCCAACGTCTCCAATATCAAAAGTTATTACACAACATGAACGCTTCTCTTCTGGCATTCAACCTGCTGTTGATCCTACTGTTACACATCTGAAGTCACTTTCACCCATTCCTGAAATGTCTTCACCAGAATGCATCGATGATAATGTCCTGAGTGAAATTGGGGAAAGCGGTGCGGAGGAAAAGGACTTTGGTAGAGAAAGATATCACTGTGCAAGGAATCGTGGGATTTTGGGGAAAATAAATGGGTCTCCACTAAGACTTATAAAACGAGGATATCCTAAATGTAATTCTGAGGATATCGATATACAAATGATAGAAGAAAATGCCAAGCACAGTGATCAAGAGCCAGAATTAGAAACAAGTGACATTTTGGGAGCAAGGTGCTCTAAACAGATTAGACTGGAGGATGCACAAGCTGATTCAATTGATAGTGTGTCTGATGTCAGTCTTCCAAGTATGGGTGACACAGAAGTTGACAGTTTAGAAACGCAGTATTTGTCAGCTCACAGCAATCTCACCACTCCTGATGTGGAGAATGACTCTAACCCATCGACTCCCAGTACACCTGTCCCAGGTATGCTTTCCTTAGGGAAGAACAACAGCCACACTTTCTGGGATGATATCACCTTGCCACATAGCTCAAGTTCAGAAACTCTAAAAAGTGATCAAGGGGAAGAAAGCCATGAATCACAATTCTTTTCGACAGAAGAGTTTCTAGATGAGATTTCCAACAGATCACCAACCAGCAAAACTCCTTGTTCCTCAGAAGAAGAGCTGCATCAAAAATTATCAGATACTAAGAGCAGACATGGAAGTGAAGATAGAATGTCACCATCATCTTACATCAGTTCTAAAAGTTACAGTACCGAATACCACACAGCTCAATCAGAACTAGACTCCAGAGTAACTTCTCCACTAAGTGCCAAGACCACTAGTAGCAGTGAATATTTCACAGCTTTTTCAGAATTTTCAGAGACCAAAGAAGATGAACAAAACAACAACACAAGAGATAGTGATGACAATCTCAGCTGTTCCTCACATGGCAGTTTGTCAGGAAATTCTGAGGTTGGAGGAAGCAAGACTAATTTATCACAGAGTGGTGTGAATGATAGTGATACTAAAAATAGTTCAGCATCAGCACAGGCAGTGGAAGAGGCGAGTGTAGCTTCTGTTTATGCAAGAGATTCTTTTGATGATGATGAGGATGATGAAGAAACTCCAAACAACTCGCCAACAAATAAGTTGATTCGTTATGATTCACTGTCACTAGTTGTAGAGGTGTCTGAAGATGACGGTGAGCTGCCGAACCCACCCCTTCCAGCATACCATATGCCAAGATTTTGTGCAGACTATGATTCTGGCCATGATAGTTACAGTAGTGAATCTTCTGTTGATCACAATCGAAGAAGAGCTTTAAGGCATTATTTCAGAAATGATGTAAGACTTTCTCCTTCATCTGAGGAAGATCCACACTCACGGCAAGCTTCCTTTGACTCTGTTGATAGCTATTCTCATAAGAGTGCTTCATTATCTTCACGACAGGCATCAACAGAATCCACAAGGACTAGTGATGCTGGGTTGTCTCGAAAAGGTTCTCCAGATGTAGAAAACCCAGTAAATACAGAATTTAGTTCTGAGATTGATGCACACATAAGGAATACGGAGATCAGTGGTGAATCAGTACAACAAGAAAGTGACAGAATGTGCCAGAAGATGAATATATCAGAACCAAATGATACATTAAATGGTGAAGAAGATAGCAACTCTATGATGGAGGCTCAAGACAGTGATACAGATTTACAAGAAACATCAGATCTCATTAAACAATGTGCAGAACATAGTGATGGCAACGGTGTAGTTAGTAAACCAGTTGATTCCATGTCTGATTCCCAAAACATTGGTGGGGAAGACACATGCTTAAATGATCCAACAAGTCTTCAAAATGGACTTACACCACATGAAGATTCTACCCAAGAAGAAGCTATTAAAAATTTAATCAAAACAGTCCCGTCCATAGTGAATACTGCAGCAATACTACTACAAAGTCCACCAGAAAAACGAAAGATGCTATCAACCAAAGCAGAACTTGATTTAACCAATCTCAGTAAAAAAGTTCTTATGAGAAGAGATGAAGTTTTAGAATCAGCAGAGGAGATGTTGTCTTCAGCCAACCAGGTTAGCATGTGTATTGGTTTTATTTTGGTATCTTTGTGGTTTTATTTCAGTGGCTTGTGGTTTTAGTATGGTGGTGCATGCTATTGCTTTAGTTTTAGAGGTGGATTATAAATGCCTATACTAGTACCAGTTTCATCCATCTTCAATTTTTATGTAGTACAGTATGTGTAATCAAATAATTTATTTTCATATTTAGTATTACATGATTATCTGAATTAAGACATTTTATATGTGTACATTACACAAGTATTCTGGGTTTTCCTTGGCAAAAAAATACATTTTTGTCAAAAAATAGTCAGGCTTGGGCAAATAATTTGGTTTTTGACCTTAAATATTTTATATCAAGGCATTATAATATCTCAATAGAGGCCATTATTAATTATTATTATTCCCATAATTAAGTGTCATATTTTTGTTAATTAGTATATTACTGTATGTGAATACATGTTTCTGTAGATGTATATAAATTAACATTTTCAAGTTCATTGCTACATTATTTTATACATATTCATCATTATTTGTCATATATTTGGTGTTGATGATTATTCCTAGTATCATATCCCTTTGTGTGCATGATGTTTTGACTTCTGCTGTAGACATATGGATGCATAACATATGAATTAACAATAATAAGTTCATCATACATATGGTATTTGAAACTGTGGTGTATTACGTTTATAATTAATATAACTTTACAGTAGCCAATGTTAATTGTACTTGTTCACATCATTAGTTATCATATTTATTGTTAATTATTATCTGTAATTAGTATATTCTTTAATCTGCCTAGTGTTTTCACTTCTACTCTAGACAACATGGATAGCATATAAATTAACATTATATTATTCTTGTGTTATTCCAAATGCCGAATCGATATGTCCGCAGAGGACGCTGATAATTACTCTCTTTCCCACTGTTAATGATTTGATGGCTTTGCATATCACCCTAGAAGTATATGTCTGATGAATTCTCATCCAGATGTTAATAACAGTTGAGAATACTCAGCATATGTGGGTGGGGTTTTTACAATTGAAGATATTTTCACTGCCAACCTGGTTATCATTAACTTGGTCATCATTAAACCTGGTTAACATTTCCATTTTTTGGTTATCAAACTCTGGTTTTTAATTCTTTAAATGTACTGTCTAGGCTAAAATCCGGAAAACACCATTAAAGTGAATTTCTAAATTTAAATTTTCATTCAATTTTTGCTGATTTATAGATATTTTACTAGGAAAAATCCTTAAACGATCACAAGCCAATTTAGGGACTATGCAAAGAATATACAAATGGGAATTATTTATGAATTTGTTAATTGACAAGGAAAATATATTCTTATTTTTCATATTTACAGATAATTACATACATATAAAATACACAATTTAAACTATTGAATATATGTATTTTTCTCCTGGTGCATTACAGTTTATTAAAGTAGGTCTTCCATTTTTGAAACCCATTGATATTGATCATGAAACTTAATCTACTCAGCTTTAAAAAGGACTTGCAGAGTTTATGTAACATTTAACATATTAGATTATATACATGATTTATTTTGTATTTTGATAAACTACATCACTTAATGGAAAATAACCAAATTGAAAGTTGGTATTGAATTTCACAGTTGGGATTTTGCTAAGCCTTCAAATTTCAAAGCACTTTGGTCAACCTAGGTTAAAATAGTATTAATTGCATTTATGAATAAATTTTCTCTTTAATCATCTTTGCTTGTGACACTTGAAGCCGGCATTGACTGCCAGCGAAAGCTTGTGTTGAATAAATATCTAAGTTAGTCTCAGAGTGCTGCCTTTTAATTCTCTTTGTATATCGTTTAGACTAACACGGCTTCCTTACCACTTATGTCCTTTGAGTTTTTTGGTTTTATTTGTAATGACCAATGGGCATAATCCCTCAAATTGCAACTTACACTAATCATTGCATAAGTGTTGTAAGTTGGCGTAATATACTTAAGAAAAGAAATGTTATCATTTATCTCAAAGACCTTGATGACAGTTTATGAAAGCTATGTCCCATATCTCATTACATAATTCATTAATTTGTACTATGTGATTACAAAATTGTAAATATCTCACAAAGAATATTTGTAAAATAGCCCATGGTCATGTCTCAACATCACAATCACAATTGTCAACATTTTATGATCACAAACAGCACACAGTTTCTATGTGGTAGTGCACTGTGAGTATCACAAAATTCCATGATCACAAACTTTTATAGTATAATTCTTTTTTGTACTGCTGTTGTTAATTTTAATTTCTTTTGTAAATAATGGTTTATATTCTATTCATGTAATACCTTTCATTTTAGATACAAGGCATTTTCTCCCAATGGATACCGAGCATGTATGGTATGCAACCTCCTCCGCTTCCTGGGGATTATTTCTAGTTATGCATGTACAGCTTTAATTCCAGATCATTCACCTTCCACAAGTGCACCCATTTGTATTTCTTGGGTGAAGAGAGGCAAATGTAGATAAAGTGTCTTGCCCAAGGACACAGACAATGGGACGAGCGTCGGTCTCAAACCAACGCTCTCTCCTTATATGCTTTGCCACTTGTTTTTTACTTTTTATATAACAAGAAATTTCATTTTTGTTTATAGATGTCAAATATTAGTGATCAGATGGAGGTATTAGAGCAATGTCTGTCATCGCTGGAGAAGACATTAGTTGGTGACAGCGAAAGTGACGAGGATGACTGTAAACAAAACGGAGGCAATCTTTCACCCCAGGTAGGAAAAGCACCCATTATTTTAACATAATTTATATAATAGCTTTTTTGGTCATATTTCTCAAAATTTCTCAAATAATATATTATTATTATAAATAATAATAATAATAATTTATTATTATAACTAATAATAATAATTTATTATTATTATAAATAATAATAATAATTTATTATTACAGTATTATAAATAATAATAATAATTTATTATTTGCGAAATTTTGGGAAATCATTACAAATTTCCATGACCCTAACTTTGCACATTTCATAGGCAGAGAATTGCTGTCTATAAATGATTATTATAATTCACTGCTACATGGGTATATCGGCAGTTGTATGATATGCAGGCAGCAGTCGGTCAGTGTAACCTTAAGAAATCAAACCACTTGAATATGCGTGGCAGGTTTTCCTTATGGAATACAGTGTTTTACGCATTTGGAAAGAAATGTAGAATCATGATGACTTGTTTCTCTTCTTTCAGTGTTTATATTTTAGCTGTCTTATCCAAAGTTTTGTCAGTTTATGTGTAAATAAAAATTCATAAATAAATGCATTAATTAGAGAATGTAATTTGCAGAGGAAAAGAAATCATTTGAGGTGCACTATGACTTGCTGGTTGCTTAGCTTGTGATTATCAATTGTTAGGAATGACATACCATGAGTACAGTCAATACAGCTATGTAAGAATGTTAGAGAACATCAATTTAATATACTGTTTTGGTAATATATTTAATCCTAAATAGGACCAGGTGGTTGAGGATGTCCAAAAACTAGAACAGAAGTTACAAGTTCATGATCATTGTCTAGGAATGGAGACTGAGGTAAGCGTATAGTTTTTTCCTAAAATTAGAAACCTTAAATGTCATGGTATTTGTAGTCATTCATCTAATAACGTTACTTAAATGTTGTTTTTTTTCCTGTAGCAAACAGCTGCAATTGCTGTTAGGATGATAACCAATACTGCACTGAAAGTCCTTGCCACAACAGAAAATGTAATTGAGACTGAGCATGCCCAGTTTGCATCTGGTGATGTTAAAACTCATTCGACAGGAAAACCAGTTTTAGCAAACGAATCCTTGTCTTCAGATGCTGTTTTAGATTTGATAGATCTTAAAGAAACAAGTGTTGATAGTGTACAGGAATTGTTGCCAATTACAAATGTAAATGAGATGCCTAACGGTATGCAACACATGCCAAATTCAAGTGTAGAGACACTTGGTGAAGATGCTGAGATGGCTCATGTTTGCAACACCCAGAATGATCTGGCTGTAAAACCATCTTCAGTGGAAGAGAACGGAAATTGTTTCGTTAATGATCAGTCAATCCATGTTACTTCATCGCATAACACATCAACAAATTTAATTTCCTCGTCGTTGAAGACAGGAGCTAGAAGGAAAGATTCTGTAAGTGGCTGTCGGAAAAAAATGAAGGGGACAATTGAAGACCAGTGTGACATTGAGCACATTGACGAAGTTGCTGATGAAATCATCCATCTTGAAGAGAAGGTAATACTACATCTGAACTAAAAAAAAAATTTCATTGAATTAATCATACATACATGAATGATTTACTTTGTTTTTCAATAATTTATTTGAAATTATCATGTGAATAAAGAACAAACAATAATTGAAAGAAATACAATTATCTTTCTAATGTTAATTCAGTATCTTGTTTGCACTGCATGTATGTGCAGAAACCAATTAGATTAATTTTTTGTTCATTGTGCCGTATAGTTGATAACCATTTAGAGCAAGAGAAGAAATAAGTTGTTGGGGTTTTATTCATTAAGCAACAAAACTTTAAACATGGTTTGGAAGATTTTAAAATAGAAATTAGAAAATGATTTATTATCCTGCAGTGTAGACAATATATTCAGTTGGTGGTGAGGAGTCAATACAATACCACGTACAGTATTGTACACATTAGATGTGGTTGTCAGACTAAAGATATTTGCCGATCTCAACAGTTATTTGATTTTCAATTCCTAATGTTGTGGTCTAAAAGCACAATTTTAAAATCGCTCCCCATGAGCCTGTCCAGGGATTTTATTCCAGGAACTTGACCGAGGCTCTGGATGGCCCCTTGGTTAAGACCCTTTGTGGAGCCACCACTGAACATATTTTACTTGGTGTTTATATATTGAGAATACAACAGTTAAATGCAAATGTTGTCTTTATTGTAGGTATATCTTTCAGCTAGCCATGTGTTCTCGCTGGAGGACAAGCTTAGCAAACTGGAAAACCAAGTTAGAGGCCTGGACATAACAGCTTCAGAAGAGCTAATAGGCGGCCTAGAAGATGAACTTGCCCTTACACTTGCCCAGGTTGCCCATAGTGAGAATCAGGTGGGCTGGTGTACCCATAGTAGAGCATGATATAGTGCTTTGATGTTGTATGTGCCTTGCGTAGTGTATTGTACATACCAAGATTGTGTCTTAAATACTATCCCAGTTTGATTATCTACTAGTCTGATATAACCCACCTCTGTAAATTTTTCTTTTAATATTTTCTATTAAAATTGCATTGAAAAATGAACTAGTCAGCTGATTATCATTGTTTTAATTTTATTTGTGATGAATTATTAATAAATAAATAAATAAATAAAAATTAATGAAGAAGGTTAATAAACCGCTTTATCATTATATTTTCCATTCATTGTTGGTTTTCTATATAATTATTGATCAAATAGATACTGTGATTCAGATATTCCGGATATATTTGGTCCGTGTCAGTTTCTAAGAATTTGTAAAGGATATAATTACTATTTCCTTCACGATAATACGTAATACATCATACAGATCTATGCGTATTGAACTGATTTGTGTGAAAAGATTACACATTTTAGCTTTTACAATTTAGAGTTTTTTTTTTTGTTTGTAAATGATATTAAAAGGTAACATTACTAATCTTGACAAATGGAACGTCTTTGGTGCTAACGTCATGATTCTACTAGTGGAAGAAAGTAGGATATTTCATGCACACAAGTGATATTAGATTTTACTTTGAATTAGAAAATACATTCTGAATTTTACAGATATGTCATTTATGATATTGTTTTGATGTTGGTGGGTGGAATCCCCTGAGCATTAATTTTCATCTCCTCATTTGTTTCAAACATTTTCTGGTTATTTACTTCTTTTTTTCTTGTGTTTTTGTTACATTAATTATGTAAAGTTCGTTGTGGCATTGAGGTACATGTGCTATATAGTAGATTTATTATTATGCATATGCACTGAACAATTCAACACATATATACACCACTAAAAATATACACATATAAGCATAGGCACCAACACATGGCATCAATACACAGTTATAACTGTGGATTGAGCCATGCTATTTGGGTTGGTGTATAAAATAAAAACACTGGAAACACGTTTGAATAACTTAAATTATTTATTACTCAAGCTTTTATCGGCAGTGTACTATGATATCAGGATCACTGCACCTGCTGGCAAAAGCTTCTGTAATAATAAATAATTCAAGTTTAGTCAAAGTGTTACTAGTGTTTTTCTTTTACACAGATAAACATTTATCTTATTCTAAATTTCATTAAGCATTTGTTAACTTTGTCAACATGTGTGTATATTAGTGAGTAAATGTTGTAAATATCTGTTGTAATTATTTAATTATATACTCTTGTTGTTACAGTGTTATATATTTATATGTTTTACACAGTAAATATGCAGTAATAGAATTAGCTTGTTTTGCATTCTGTGACTTGGCCTTTGCAATGTTAATGACCTACACATGGCTCTCAATTATTCATGAACATTGTGCCCAGGATCAATTATGTGGTGATTATATTTCGTACCATTTTTCATATTTGCATGGAGTGCTGAAGTACATGTTTCGTTAACAACTGCGTGTTTGTTGTAATACATTCTGCATCCTTGAAACAGATTTAAATATTATTCTCATTAGAAAAAAATTTTTTTCATCAAATGTAAAATATATCGGTTTTTAATGGTGCAAATTGTAACATCTTTTTTATCAATTCAATCTGTGTAGGATTTATATTTCAGTAATACTGGTGAAGATTTATAGATTTTATTTTTTTGTATTTAGAAGGCATTTTCCTTTTCTCATTTTTAACTTATTTTGAATGCAGTTGGCCCAGAAGCTGTTGTCTATTCAAAATGCGATGCGATATTGTAATATGTATGCACTGTACAAAAACTGTATAATCATCTTTAGATTTTTAGGCATTATTATAATTCATTATCTATCATCATCATCCATCCAGCATTATCATCATCATCATCATCATCAATGTCATCAATCACTATTATGATAATCTTCCATCAAAATCATCATTGTCTTCTATCATCTGTCATCATTTATTATCCATTATTATCCATCATATAACCATCATTGTCATAATCGTGATCATATCATCATCGTCGTTGTTATCTATCCTTTATCATTGGCCTCAATCATTATTATGATAACCATCCATCAAAATCATCATTGTCTTCCATCATCTGTCATCATTCATTATCCATAATCATCCATCATATCATAACTATCATAATCAACATCATCATTATCATTTATCATCATCAGCTGTAGAATGATGAGTACCACTGATGTCTGTCAGACTGTGCTGTTTTGTGCTCTTTATATGTATTTCTCTTGTAGGCACAGGATCTGTGCTGTAGCCCTCATCACAATATTACCTGTTTGAATTTGCTTGCATTTTTGTTATTATCTTAAGAGGAATTTGATGATAATGCAAATTATCTTCAATATCATTTTTTGTAGGTGTGTTCTGCCGAAGACCGGATTGACCAGTTAAAATCAAGAACAGGCTTTGTCCAAGGTGAGGAGAAAGAGGATAGATTTAATAATTTCATAAAGAATATATCTGGAAGTTCAAAGCCTTTCTATGCAGCTACTGCTAATAAACCTGTAAGTGGTAGATGTGAGAGCACCAGAAGGAGTGAGGTTCCAGATTTTGCTGGTACATCTTTTACTGATAGACATCAGAACCCTAGGAGTGAGCTTCCAAATGGCTCTGCAGATTCCCTCAATGATACATTCGAACATTCTAGTTCTTTACCAGTTGATGAAGTTGATGGTGAATATGCACTTGAAAGTGATGAGGATGAGATTTTTCTGGTAGCATCATCCAGTTTACAGACCGATCTTTATCAGAAGTCTTCATATGGTACCTTCACAAGATCCGTTTCGCAGCCAGATGTGAGCACTGATGGCAGCAGGCAGGAGTGTTCGTTTGATGACAAGCGATCTGTGTCGGTGACAGATGTCAATTGCGAAATGCCTGGTCTTTGCAGTTTTCTAGATGATTCTAACCTTCAATTTCAGCCATATTCTTCTAGTTCTGGAGAGTTCAGCGATGACAGTCAGAGGATTAGCCCTGGCAGTGATGACAGTCAGAGGAATAATGGTAGTGATAATATTGAGAGGGACATTGGTGGAAGAGATGATAACCAGAGGGACATCAATGGCAGTGATGATAGGCCACAAAATACTGTTGATACGATGTCTTATAATGTAAATGAAGATCCTACTGTCCGTGCAGCTTGTGAAAACACTCCGAAGGACAACAATACGGTTGAAGGATCTCAAAATAGTAAGACATCAAATTGAATCTTCAGGGAATGTTATTTAATTCCCTGGCAATAACCTTTTTTGTTTTCCCATTTAGTAAACCTATTCAATTTGGTTGTGTTGGTGTACTCCTAATGTGAATAATAACAGCTTTTGCTTCCTTTGAATAAGAAATAGAAAGGGTTTACCTGATTGATAGTTTTGCATGTTGTCAGATCATTTCCTGGTGATTTTCTTCCAGCACATTTAATTTATTGATCTTGTAGTGTAATAAATGACAACAAGCATAACATGTTCTTTTTCTTTAAAGTGTAATTTGATTTATTAAGTCATTGTGGTGACTGCATAATAACATCATATATAAGATTTTGCGATGCCCATACATTAGATGCTTTATAACCAAGTTTAAGAGACTGGGGAATGGAGTTGTTTTGGTTATGAGAACAATTCTGACAATTTTGCCAGAATGTAACTTATGATCTTGGGAGTGGAACGTACCACTTTAACAACCAAACCATATCTCCAGTCATTCTGCAATCTAGATTTTTAAAGGTATCTTTGAGGCTTTGCTTGATGGTAAAAAACAAGTTAATAACAGCTACTAAACATCATCTACATTGTTGTGTATTAATCCCTTGTGAAATATTAGAGTAGAAAATATACCCTGGCACATCTATTAATAGTATAATTCTTTTACTAATCCTAGTGCATGTAAACACTGGCCTAACACTTGTCAAAGAGAGCTTGAGTAGTAATCCACCTTCATGATGTTATGATTGTCATATAATCTAATAATCATATTTATGAATATTTTTTAAGATAAAAAAATTCAATATTTATGCCGTATTGAAAGATTAATCACCATATGTTTTTATCATTGTTAGGTGTCTCAGCACTTGTGTATGCATCAGAGGCTAATTTTAATTCTCCAGTGGTGAGTGTATCAATGTTTTTATGATTAAAGCAATACACAATATATATCATCCTATTTTTGGTAGATTTATACAGTAGATTAGGTCTCTGGTCAAATGAAATAATGCAGATGTGTGAAATTTTATTTCACAACCCAATGCTCTTGTTGGCACATTACTCAACTCAATACTTCAGAAAATAGATGTGTGCGATTTAGTTTGTTTAACCCATTTGGTAGATTCATTAGATGCAAGGGACATGATCACACAACATATCTTTTTTAGCACCTCCATGTAAGAAGCTGAATCATACATGAGATTTGATCTCACAATCTATATAAAAAATATGCTTTCTTTGGTACAATATTTTGAAAATGCATGAGATCTCGTAGCCATATACTGTCCACCACCATGGTACATTGAAATATTAAATATGTGAGATATGACCACAACCAGTTTTGTATTTTGGCAAGTTAGATTAATACACAAGCTTTTATCTCGTAATATATTTTCTTCTGTTGATCCAATGGATTCATGCTATTCGATCTCACAAATTTGTACATTGAAATACTACATGATATATGCAAGATTTGGTCACAATCAATTTTTTAGTTGGCAGTTGGAAATTGAATTTGTGCATCAGATTTGATCGCAACCAAAAGCATGTTTTTGAAAATTATATTATTATTTGGTTGTAATATAGTTCAGATCGAACTAGAAAAAGTCTGTCATTGGTGTAATGAGATGAATCCTGCCGTTTCTGGCTAATGCCACTCTAGACACTTGCGCGCTTTTTTGTCCCCGCAATTCTGTGCAACGCATCGTGGCAAGGCGTGCCATTTCGGTAGTACGCAGAGGAGCGTGAAACTGTGTTTGCGGCCTGTTTGCGAACTGTACACGCATAAGTTACGCACTGTCTACGCAATGCGCAGCCAAAAATGGGCCGCAATGGCATTTCTTGTTTATGCATAAGTTAAGTAGTATCGCGCATAGTTCACATCTACCATACCGCGTTGTCCCGCAGTGTAATGCATGACCAGCATAGTTCCTGTTGTGTTCCTGCATCGCCATGCATTGTCCCTGCGATACTGTAGACGATTCAACATGCTAAATGCCAGAGACACTGTTATTGCAGAACTGAGAAGATGTCTATATCTGGCAGCTGCAGGACTATTACTTCTTGAAGAGCAGAAGAAAAGGCAGGACATGCATTGACACACAACGTTGGCAGTGTTTGTGCAGTGATCACACAAGTGGCATGCACATGGCACAAATTTTTGATCATTTCAAAATTATCTCTACGACATGGCACGAACCCTTCACATACTCCTGATGCTTGTTCCCAAAGACTCTAATCATTGGCCTGCCGAAGTGCAAGCCATTGCAGAAACAAACATTTTGCAAGTGTCAGGGGTGGCATAAGACTCAACCCTACTCCTTGGGGGTTGGATATTTTTGATGTTTTTAAAGTGTAGTTGATGTTTGTTTTACATGCTCACTAAGGGGCTGATTTATGGCCCAATGTCCTTCCAAAAAAATGTTGATGCCTGGGTCTGGGGCCCTGGCTTTAGCCATTGAGGGCACGGTGGTGATTTGTGACTCAGTCTGCAGGGGTCCCAAGTTGGAAGAAGTCATTTCCGGGAGATCTGCGGTGGCGAGTCAAAGGGTGGGGAGGGTGCAGGGAGGGACTTACCTCAGCTGCACCATGATTGGAGGAGGTAAGAAAATTTATGATTATGGCACCTCTAGATGGCTGGAAAATGGCCCTCTCTGACTTTATTTTATTTTTTTTTTCTACCCCATTTTTATTTTTATTTTTTTTAAGTTATTAAGGGACCCGTGCCGGCTGTCCCCGCCCTTGAATCCACCACTGATCTGGTTAATGAGCTTCCTTAACACATCTAATTTTACCAATTGAAAATACAACCGTGAAAAAATGCAAAATTATGAATTTTCGAAGATGGGTTGATTTCCGGGAGATTCTTGCTTGTTTGTAGGAGTGCGGGAGGCCGTTCTGATTTCCGGGAGACTCCCGTGAGTTCCGGGAGATTTGGGACATCTGAGTCTGTCTTGTGGAAAATGCTGCTGCAGTGCATTGTTAGAATTGTTAATGAAATTCGCTTTTTCGTTTTGACAGTTTTATATGCAGGAAATTAATCCTAACATTTATTTTGTTTCTAGGATCAAGGACACACCGACTCAAGAACACAAAGACATGACAGTCAATTTCAAAATGATTTACTAATCAATTCAACTTACGTAGGTATGTCGCTTTACATTATAATCTTAAATCCTGAAAGCTTAGCAAGCTTCTTTTTGCAAAAGGAAGAGTGGAAAATTGTGGCACTCTTGATTGATACATGGTTTACTGTAATACATTCACACACAAAATTGCACAATTATTTATGTTAACATTTTTATGTGCTGAAATGTTTTTTAATTAAATAAAGTTGGGATTTTATCAACAGAATGTAATTAATAATAAATAATTATTACTATTTCATACAGAATTAATTATTATTAATTATGTTGGTTTAACCAACTTTAAAACTCACCATTCTTTGTTAAATATTGATTTTATTTCTCATTATTATCATCAATATTATTATTAGAACTGACAGAATTATTATATTTTAACAATTGTTTTTGCAATATACTTTCATTGATGTTGTTTTCTTCCCCTTTACTGCTGCAGAATTATAGTATTATTCTGTAAGTACTGTTTTATGAAGATATTAAGTAATGATTTAGATGCTTAAGCTGTTTTAAGCATAGCATTACATTTACATTTACATTTAGTATTGATTAAAATGTTAATGGCTGGTTAATCTATAGTATTAATCTTTGGTCTAATAAAGGCTTTCCTACATTATCACACGGATCAAAAGATTGTATGTCTTACCATTGTATGTATTAACATTTTAAGGTTTTTTGATACCGGTACTTTATTATGTTTTGTGTTGCTGTAGTGGTAGACTTGGCCAAGTCTATATTTGGAACAGAGCCACCAGTGAGGAAAAACTTGCCACTGATACAAAATATTAATTGAAGTTGAGGCTCGCTTCCTTCGCGGTACTGTTCTAAAGAATATTAAAACTTATGGCCTGGAAATTAGGCTGGTAGTATGGTATCAAGTCACTACAAGCCATCATTTCATTTGAAGAATACTAAATCAAATTCTAGATTAACAAGCCCGTAAGCAGGATTTTTAAAGGGGTGGGGAGTTCTAATTTTTTTTACAAAAGGGCACTTTGAGACCTTACCCACAACAGTCCCACCATGGCTGGACTAAATTTTAAAGATATAACACCTCATATGTCTCGAAATGGCCATAAAAATGCCAAATTTAAATATTTGAAGTTAATTTCAACAACTTCCATGCAAATACTGTAGTACTTTTTTATAATAATTTAAAAGGGCATTTCTTGGGGGTTCTTTCGAAGCCCTTGAACCACCTAGCTACGGGCATGATTAAGTGCATGTAGTTTGAGTAAATACCATCCTGGCAATTGCGACTGGTACAAATGAGCAAACTATATTTACAGTGTCTCGATTTCTTTTAATGAATGACATTTATATCGCACTTTGATCGTTCCTTTATTATTCATTAGCTGTGAAATAAATTATTGCTTTACATTCTAAAATATATTTACCATAAACCATTGCTGATGTATATAGTCTCAGCAATGGCGGTGCCAGCGTCTGAAATCTGGGGCGGGGAAGGTAAAATTTTAAAGGGGAAATATGATGGGGTGGCCTGAAGTGGGCGTGGTCAGGTGTCGCTCAAAATGTCTTGAAAGTTGTTCAGGGGGTGAAGCCCCTGAGAAATATGACAATTTAGTGCTTTCAGAGGCTTATTTAATCGATTTCATGATAGATAGTCTACTATTATGTAGAAAATACATTTTTTTTTTTTCTCCCCGACAGATTTTGGTTTTTCTTCTTTTTTGGGGTCGGGGTGGGAACTGAGGGGGAAAGAAAATTATTTAGAAGAAAATTCCCCCTTGTCCCTGCTAGCGCTGCCACTGAGTCTCAGTACCAGGTCGTAGTATCAATGAATGCAATACAGTCAAAGATCTTATTAACACAAGATAGCGTTCTCCGCGATTTACACGTGCAAATTCTGTAATAACGCATGGACGGTGCCCTCTTGCAAAATTGAAAACTTTTGAACCTTGACCGCTCTGACCATAGCATACGCTGCACGACTTTACGTTTACGCGTAACAATTAGAAGCGTCCAATTTACAATGCGCCCTCTCATTAGAACATAAGGAACAAATTAACGTACTTGGTAACGAACTTTGGCGTAACACCCTATCTCAGATCCATATCAACGACTAGGACGCCCTCTCCCAAAACTGATTACTTTTCTGTGCCAAATCAACGCTTCTATTTGTTACGCGTAAAATCGCGGAGAACGCCATCTTGTGTTTATAAGATCTTTGAATACAGTACATTACTTTAGAGAGGGCGACAAACAAGTGTACTGTACTAGAGTAACATCCATCCAAGTTTTTAATGTAACAACTGGCATGTTCTCAAACTTGTATCTGCTCTAACTAGTATCTACGTGAACTGGTATCCTCATAAACCAAGCAGTGGTGGTGCCAGCAGGGGGGCAGGGTGGGCATTTGCCCACCCATCAGACAGGCCAGGACCCCCCCCCCCTTGTCATCCAACAATCAACTAGGTCGTCGGACCAAAAATAAAAAAATATTTGTCTATCCAAAATACGCTATTTTGATTGCTAATCCCAAATATTGTGCTCTAAAGGCACATTTAGGACCAAATTAAGCCATAAAAACTCTCCCCATGAACCCTAGCGAGATTTTTTTTTTACTCCGGGCTGTCGACCAAGGCTTCGTCGTCGCCTTGGATCGGAGCCCTCAGTTTGACACGTCAGGGCCCTTGTCAACAAATTTCTGGCGCCACCGCTGAAATGAAGAATTTTTTACTTTTGGTCTAAGATGTTGTTATTTTTATTATTATTAATACTACAGTTCTACTAATGTTATATTATCATAATGTTATTATAATTGTATTGGTCATTTTAATAATATTTTTGTGGTCAACGGTGTAAATGTTGAAGCAATACAATTTATTTATTTTAAGTATTTATTATTTTTCTAACATATTTATTATTATTAGAAGTGAATGATGCACTGTTTTGTTTTGTTTTGCAGGGAGTAAGACAGAGCATTACATGAAGCATAGACCAGATAAAGTACAAATCTGTACACACCTTGGAAATTAAGTCCCCACCACATCCCACCTATCATCGTTGGACTATTTTGTGCGTGTGTATGTATGCAGACGTGTAGAGTTGGTTTATAATTGTTTGTGCTCCATGTTACAAGGGTTCCTTTTCAGTGTTGACTAGTTTTTGTTGTTGGTTTCACAATATTTTATCCATCCAAGTTCTCTAATCTATTTAGATGTTTGGCGATCAATTAGACTGAATCCCTGACAAAGATTGTAGAATAAACAAAAGATGTTCTCATAAAACATATTTTAATATTCATACCATAGAGTGTATGAAACATATTATATTATATATAAATATATATTATTATATATATATAATAAATTTCAATAATCAATTAAACATTTCATTGTATCATATGAAACATATATCAATGTTTCATATCATATGATACATTGAAACCTTGAATAGAAGTCCAGGGCCTCTTTGATGGGCTTATTTTCAAGATTACTTTTGCAAACTACAGAGGAAGCTTCCTTTAAAAATGAATGCTGTAAATTTTGGAATTGCTACTATACAACATTTTTTAAGTATGTAATTCAAAATTCTGTTTAATATTTTTATAATTTTAACCTTCTAGTACTATAAAATATTATTGATACTAACATGCTATCAAAATAATAGGATAATGACAGTGTGAATGTAGGTACTATCTCGAAAGAAGCTAATACACTGTATTATCTGTATTAGAAGCCCATGGGCTTTTTTGAGATAGATTTCTTTTCGAGATTACTTTTACAAACTAAAGAGGGGGCTTCTTTCAAGATGGGCTTCTTCTCGAGATTAAGCCCATAGGGCTTCTATTCGTGGCATTCTATGACAGTTATTTCAATGTTTTATATTATGGAATATTTAAAATAATATGAATGTTTTATTGTTTTATATAATATATATTTAACATTTTTAATAGTTTAATTTTTATCATATATAAACTTATTTAATATATAAACCATATATTTTAATAGTCATATAATAGAGTTTCAAAAACTATTAAACTCTTATTAAGACCATTTCAAGACTTTTTAAATATCTGTCAATTGAAGGCATAACTGAAATAACGTCTACAATATGGAACATATTTCATTTTATTTATAAAATTGTATAACTAAAATACTGGCATCATAACTGTGGAACTGTCACTGGTGAAATCAGGTTGTGACCTGTATGTCGTACTGGTGCAGTTTTCATTAATAATGTATAAATCATTTTAACATTATAAAGTAATACAAATAACATTTTTATTGTCAATTACTGATAATATATACATTGGTTAATTGATCTTTCATATATTTTTGATTGATTAATTAATTAATTGTAATAAAAATAAGGTTACATTTATATAGCGCATAATGCTTCTATGCGCTTTAACGTAAACAGAAAAAGGAGAAAAAAAAAACGAAGAAGAACTATAACATAAAATAACCTAAAACTAACCAAGACTACCATGAACAGTGAAAACCATCACCACCACACCATTCACCAGCAATTTAAAGTGCAAGAACCGCCATTACATTATTCACAGTGTGCCATAATGGTGTGGTTATCTAAAATCAAAAACAAACATCAGAAAATGAGAAGAAATTTACTAATTCATTGATTGAGTTTGATTGATTGATTATTTGATTGATTGACTGACTTTTTAATTATTGATCTAACCACAATCACAGTTAATTTTTTCTCAACTATCAACATAAATAGTTTTTCTTTGCTGTCTTTTGGAGTGAAGCTGAATACCATTTTTCAGATGTCATGCTCCTTGTTGGCAAATATAAACAATTGGTCATTTATCAAAGTTTACTAAAATAACATTTAATACTTTCAAAACTAAATGGTCAGTTTGTATTTATCTTTTGTTAGTCCTATTTAGTTTTTTAATAATCCCAAATTGGTAATATTAAGATAGTTATAATTTTGACTAACCAATTAGCACACAGAGCAACACACATACCAACAGATCCTCATGCAGTCCATTCAATTTAGAATTTCCAAAAACACACAGTGGCATTACTAAAAAATTGTACAAAATAAGAAAAAAAATAGTAAGAGAATGATATAAAATAAACCAAAAAAATTATTAAAAATTGTTATA